TAAAAGTTTTAAATAATGTTTTTGGTTAACGCTTTCTTAGTGGGTTAGTTTTCTACGAGATAGAGTCGCTAACCCCATGCCAAATTTACCAACACACGTAGAGTCTTTCATCTCACCTTCAGTTTCTAGTTACCCAACATTTAATGTATTTCAAATGAGTGAAGTACCAAATATTGATAACCAAAGAACTACACACTGTGCAGTGGTCGCTATATCTATCAATGAGTTACATTCGAAGATCCTTTAGTAGAATCATTGAACAGATTATCTTCAGATGATAGACGTTTTCATATAATCATTTAGCACACTACAAAACGTTGGCTTCTTTCTATCGTGTAAAACCTTATTTGTAAACCAGCGTTTTACACATTTCCATTTATGGCTGTCAATCAAACTGAATTTTGTACACATTCCACAATATGAACTGATTCAGTTGAATTAGGAAAATAATTATGTACACATTAGTGGAGTTATATACTCCTGACCTAAAGACCGATCTCTCCATTGGAAATTGTAATAACTGTAACTGATCCTAATGGAGTTCGACTCAAGAACACAGGCGAACGTAGTTGACAGATGACAGTCCCGCTCACCATCCAAAGATAACCAATTCAACAGTTTATTTCACCTTGATTTTATCAACACAATTCACTCGACAATTTGTAAATGTCACTCATTACTTTCGCCTCTATCTGATCTATATTCAATATGAGGACAATTATCTCACAACAATCGACATTATGCAAAAATATACTGCAAAACAGAACTACGAAAACGGTTGCACGCAATCGCAAATGAAATGTTCCAACTTTAGAATGTATCTCGTTTGATCAACTTTCTCTCGTTGGCCTACTGATGCAATGGCTTTTGAATGCTGTGCATTCAGCAATAAGATTTGAAAAATTGGGAATTCTGTCCGATTCCCTTGATCAACTATAACATTACACCGAATTCTATCATTTCTGTTACATTGTGTGCAAATATTTAAAGTAAAATATATTATCACTTCTTTAATCTCAGTGTAAATTATCTGACCATTTAATTAACAAAAACATATTTCTGTTGACCTCAGTTATTGACAGAAATATCAATGATTATAACTGTGTTGTCGTCAGTCACCTCACGCCATCTCATTAATCAAATAATTTGGTATTATTCTATATCATCTATTATGTATAGTGGGCGTAATATGAATCTTATTTAGAGCAAAAAAACAACGATTTCTAATAATAACTTGATAATTAGCCACACGTTCAGAAAAAAGATGAGTGAAATTATCATTTTTCAAAAGATTACTACTTTCTATAAATAAAATGAAGTGAAAACAAATCTCTCGACTGTCAATTCATAGAAGGCTGTGCTCCATCTATGAATAAACACTGTAGCCATTGACCGTCTAATTTCAGATGAGTTTAGTGGTTGTTTCCTCACAAATCATCTAGCTCTCACTTCCTCAGTTTATCAATCTATGGATCGCGCATTGATGATCCTGGTTCTTTGAGACTCGACTAGTTATTACTTCCTGTGTACATCGGTCTATGAGACTGTGGTGAATCATCCTGGTGATAAAATCCACATCACGTTCTGTGTTCCATTTTATATCAATCACTGTGGCGGATAAACTCATCCTCATCTGATATTCTGAACAAACACATTTTACTATTGACCAAATGTATGTTTTCACTGAATATTGACTATGGTTGCATATCATGGTTCAATGTGAGCGATCAAATTTTACGTGAGGTTGAATACATTTTGACGTGTCATTTTGTGCTGAAGTTTGGTCTCACTTTCCAACAGATTTGAAATGCGCTCTTTTGGAGAGAAGCATTCGCAGTTGAATATTTAAATAGCAAGTCAGGTTTGCACTGTCTCGCCAATTTCAGATTCATCGTTTTGGATGATTTTATTAAGGAGATAATTTAATTGAGCTAGACAATGTTCGGTGTTTGTAGACTGTCGGCAGAAAATCGTGTAGTCCGGTTTCATAGTAGTTGGTACAAGTCGGTATGTTATACTCTCAATCTTGAAGAAACCAATACTCCTCGTGTAATTCAAACTCATATCAGTCAATTTCGCAGTATGAAAATTTGCTGCTACGTTACTGTAAACACAACTGACATCTTGTAGGACAGAGATGTTTATATTTATTGATCAAAGCGCAATTGTTGGTGTCCTGACAGTGAGAAAATTGTACTACAAGTCATTAACCGGTGTATATTTTGATTTTTATCGATGAAATACGCTGACTAATGAATCTGTTTACGTGATATGAAACCATTAACAAGTGAACAACTGAGATTTCAACATGAGTCGATCTTAAACTAAAGATTTGGCATCTAGTGGTTTATATTCCTGAATTCAGTCAATTAGCGGTATTACTCAGTTGTCGTTCATTAAAACTGGTGATCATTGGGAGGATAATGATTGTGCATTGTATACTAGTCGCATACTTAGATGAAATAACAGTCTATGGCTTCCAGGTTTTCAGTGTCTGTTGAAGTGAAGTTACCTTAAGTTGAGTCTACCGAAATGTCTAAGTCACCAGAATGAGATACGCGCAAAATCGAAGTTCACATAACAACTACTTTTTCTAGAACACCAGTTCTTGGTTGAATAATATGCAAACATTAGTTGCAAACCTCAACTTATGAGATGTCTATGTTGTTTATCGCGTCCTTTTGTATGAAACGAAAAAGGCTTCCCGTAAAAGTAATTGTGATAGAGGTCTATCATCAAGTATTATTTCTATTGCAGTCAAACAAGTGGTGAGCATCCCACAGGAAGTAGTCTGCTCACCAGATAGTGAATTCAAAATTCTGCGTACACTTCTTATTATTATTTTCCACATTTCTCCAGGATGACTTGCGTGAGGGGCATTGTAGTGCATTCTATGTTCCGTCTGGTCATTTCTTTGGCCACTATTTTATTTTTTAAGTTCGGCAATAGAAGTTGTGACTCCTTCTCTTACCCAACAATGTTAATTCGTCTATCACTGTATATCTTCTTCCGCAAATCTCTGCGAGTTAAGAATCGCAACAATGCCGCTTAAATAGGCTTCGGATCTGTTACACTAATGCTCAAAGCTTACTCAGTAAGCGACCGGAACTAGGTGTACAGATTGATTCTTCAAAGCCAGACATAACTGCAGTCACAGGACAAAAAGAAGAGGAAATATTCGTACACTATGAGGGGACAGTATTGCTGCATCATTAGTGCAGGACGACTTTGGTGAGGCTCAAGTGTTCTCGAACTACTTTACCATAGAAGCACCGTTCACGTCAGCGCATACAAATCCCCCACACATACACTATATAGCGTGATCATTAAAGAACTCGATGTCTCTGGTCTGCTCAATAAGCTTGACATAGGTAATCTACGGAGCCCGATGAATTTAATCCTAGTCTACTGAAGGAATTATCTAACTTCGTTGCAAACCATTCAAGTATATGTTTTAATCTATCCGTAATGCAGGATCGTTTACCGAAGGACTGAAAGAACACCATAGTTAGTCCTGTCTTCAAAACAGGTACGAAACGCAAACCTGAGAATTACCTCCCTGTTAGCCTAACTGGTGTGGTTGTTAAAATTTGAGAAACTATTATTCGGAAGGAGCTTTTTAGTACCTCGATGAAAACCGGATCCTTTCGGAGAAGTAGCACGGCTTCAGAATAAGTTATTCTTGTCTCACTAACTTACTAGTCGCTCGTGAAAGCTGGTGCGCTCTTAAGGACCAAAAGCTACCTGTAGACGTAGCCTACATTGATTCCAGCCAAGCTTTTGACAAAGTTCCGCACAAGCTGTCGTTATATAAGCTAAGAAATGTCGGAATTGGAGGCAATCTATTGATGTCGATAAAAGACTTCCTAGTTGTCGCCAACAAGGAGTACGGGTGAACTCGAAGATATTTAGCTGGGGAACTGTGCTTAGTGGAGTGCCCCAGGGAACAGTTTTGGGACCAGTGCTATTCCTCTTGTATGTAAATGACCTTCCTTGTCTCCCATCATCATCGATCTTGCTATATGTTGACGATGTCAAGATATGCAGAACGATATGTTGTAAGTGTGATAGTTTGGAACTCCTAAATGATCTGAAGAAATTACCTGAATGATCTTAAACCTGGCAGTTGCGGATAAATACTTCCATGTGTGTTGTGATGCATATCGGTCATCAAGGTACAAATACATACACGACGAATAACACTGAGCTACTTGTCGTCCAGACTTAGTAGTCATCCCTAGCCAAGACTTAAAGACTACTGCACACTGCCGTGGAATTAATTACCTCAGCACGTGGTTGAGGCTCAGTCTGTCGACTCTTCCACGATAAAGTTGAATCAACTTGGAGACCACCATTGCCGGGACTAACACAGGCCGTCGGAAAGACGTCTGTTAATAGTGCGCAAGGAACTTGTAGATGGATTGCTCCAATGTTAAAGCTTTTTAATATGCAAACGTAATGCTTTCGAAATTTGCGCCCCAGTTTAACCATAATCGTGTCAAAATAATCTATCCCCGTTGTTGCGAATAAAAAACCGAGCGTCGTCCGCGTGGATGGTAGGTCTCCGATCAGTTGTGTCAAAATATCCTCCTGCACGAACCAGGTTGTCAATTACGATCGATCGTAACTCACTGATCACATAATTCCTAGCAGTCATATTGTATGAAGTCTTGTGTCATTTTATTCAACTTCCTCGAATTTTCGCTTTTTTGCGTTTTCTAATAAATCCTTCTCGGCATTGTCCAGTTCATTAAGCGAAAAAGGTTCACTCCCTATCGCTTTCTTGCAGAGGTAATGCTTGAATAGAGTGAGTCAAGCTGTACATTGTTTAAGTATGGTAACAGGCACACTATTTCATTTTGGTGTTGCATACTACTTATATCTGTCAAAATAAGCTGCGTACATCACGCGTTTATCCGTTTTTTAATGGCTGAATTAATCAAGTGTGATTTAAATGGATTGATATAAACCTCATAACACCATACAATTCATCACATTTTATGCTGTTTGTACATGCAGCATGTTCATCAAATCCTGGAATTGTATGTAGTCATGATTATTTATTAGTGGATGATCGTATACCTAATGTTTATGACGGTATAATTAACAATATACCAATAATTCGTTTTTGTTTAATCAATAATTCCACATTGAAAACAATCGCCACAAAGACAAAAACAAAATTACCAGAAGTAGAAATGATCAATTCATCATTATCTTCTCCTTCTTCGATCTCCTCTGGATCCTTTTCATTGAATTCAATCGATTATAATAAATTATATGCACCAGATGAATCATATTTAGTTGGGCAAATTTATGATCCAATCAGTAATGTATACGGTTTACAGTTTACATCAAATTGAAATTTATTAGATCCATATATTATTCATGGAAAAGGCATAGTGTTAGAATATATTGGTAAGCATTAGTTTGTTTTTTGTTTATTACAGTGATTGTTTAAATGTTTATGTTATACACATGATGGACTGATTGTAGACAGATAATAATTGAAAATGAGGAAACATTAAATGGCTCTTTCATTCATTGTAGCATTGAACTGTTCAGTATTTTACACTGATGAACCATTCAAAGAATTTCAGACTTGATGGCGAGACATCAATCCTTATACTAACCAGTTGGGACCTAATGGTTGATGCTTGTGAAGACAGTCAGTCAGTCAGTCAACTTACAGCATTACGAAATCATTATCTAGTGATATTGATGTGTAGTTGCCTCAGACCCGATATAACTGAACTACATTGATCATAACCTGTTACTAGAACTCTAGGCATTACTTCTCGAAATTACTCATTACTGAGGCTTGCTGCGAGCTGACTCAAGTTAAAAACGTAAACCTGATGTGTAGCTGATAAAATTACTGATTGATTGTTTACCTAGTCAAACTAGTAGATGGTCTGACAAGTATGAGATGTGTCACATGTTTTCTATCACATTATTATTTCTTATTGTTTGTTATTGTCGTTGAAACATTCGCACGTTCTAGTGTGATCAGTCACATGTTCGTGAGCAAAATTGTTTTGAAGTGCTGTAGAATGGACACTGGCACGGTATCGTGTATAGATGCTCGTCTCATTCGTGTAAAGAAGAAATTCCAGCGTCATTTCAAAACGATCGTTCTTGACTCAGTGATCGAAAGCTTATAGAGAGGCTGTTAGGTGTTTTGTTTTTGAACTTGATCTATGTTAGGCTTGTGGATTTACACTATTCAGAAGTCTTATATTAAAGACGAAACAGTTGTTTTGTTACAGTAACTTCATGATATCAACTACAATATATAACTGTTTATGTCATTGTGTTTTATGAATATGTCATAAATGTTTTACGAAGTATCGTATATCAGAGTAAAGTTTAATAAAGATCGAGTTTAAAACAACTCTGTTCGTCTTGATATCTTGTATTAATTTCCACAATGAGAATTTCCGAAATTTTTGCGTTGAAATTAGTTTAATGATTATCAAAAATCAAGATACATTGAAACAAATGTATCCATGATCTTCAAGTCTCATCAGTGAAAATGACACCATCTAACCATTGAATAATTTCGAATTTCGTCACCGATTGATGATGAATTGAAATGACGAAATCTTTAGGGATAATGAATTAAACTTCTATATGTAGTGCTCGTTGATTTACTGTTAGACAACAACAAGAAAATAACCGTAAATGTTGAATGCATTACAATGACTGAATATTGAAACTATTCTAGATCAACTCAAGTATAACACAGTCCTTTTATGAATATGAAATGAAAACCAACTTGAAGTTGTTTGAAGAATAAAAACACATCACATTGAAACTTCAAAAATACTCAACGAAATCGTTGATTTATTGTTGATTGGTTAATTCACTGGTTTATTTATTTATTTATTTATCCAGTTAGTTATTTGTTACGACAGTGATTATTGCATGCTACTTCACCTCGCTTCACTTCACTCACCTTAACTTACCTTTCTAACTGAATACATCAATTGAGAGAAATGAAATTGATTGTCTATAGTCTCTTTCTATTATCATAAAATGATGTATGAATGAATCGAAATTTCAATATATTATAGAATTTATTTGTATTCTCAGAATTAGTAGTAGTATGTATGTAATGAATCTTTATCAACTAAGGTGATTGGGATGTTTGTTACATATACCCGATCACCACCTATCTTGACGGGGAATATTGTCTAGTTTAAGAGTTGATTTCAGTAAGCTAAAAGTGGCTAAACCAAGATGTGGCACTAGTCCATTAAGTCAGTAACAAGTGGACTGAGTCATTTAAGTAGATTGAGTTTACCGCGTTGGAATCGGCGTGATTATCCTAAACGATGATTCGCAACTTTTGATGACAAATCAGGACCACTCACAATGGTCCATATACATTCACTCCTTTCTTGCTTTTGGACCTAACCTGTGTCACAAAATCTCTTTATACCTTATTTCTTTGCATGTACCTAATCTTTCCTACTACCACAAATGTTATTACTACTGTTAGTAATCTGGAATTTGCCTCGATAATTTTATCTCTCCTTGCTAATAAGACATGACAACTTGAGCTGACATACCTATGTATCAGATTCTACGTTGCACATGACTAGAACTATGTATGAGGAAGCCATTAGGCAGAATTTGATAGTAGAGATAGAGGAAAAATATTAAAAAGAGATGAAGTTCTTTTAATACAGACAAGGTGTTTTTGAATGCTGCTAGAGTTATGTGAACAGTTGATATTTCCCAGTTACCTACATTGAGGAAAGATAGTTTTTTTGAGGTATCTGAAAAGAATATTGGATAGGTAGTGATTTTGCCGACCTGGAAGGATGACCGCTGACCCCAAGAGACAAATGTTTAAAGCCGATCAAACTGCTATTTTTCTGAGTAATTGTTAGTGTGTTAGCTCGGCACTTCATATTTTTATTTACCCATAATTATTTTCTTTGAGTTTGGTGGTATTTATAAGCGGAATTCAGGATACTCGTTTTATAACAATGGGAAGATACAAACCCTTTTAAATAAAATTTTTAACCATTGTACATGTAAGTGGCTATCTGACCTTTGTAGCTCATCAGAGTTAATGCGTTGGGCGTGAAGTAGTCGAACGCGTTGACGAATTCACTTATTTGGAAGTCTGATCAGACCTAATGGGTTGGTATCGGACGAAATCTCAGCACGGATTCGAAAAGCTCGTTTGGCGTTTGCCAACTTACGTCACCTTTGGCGAAGGCGAAATATCCGTCTATCAATAAAAGAACGAGTATACTGCGCGGCAGTCCGTTCAGTTTTACTTTACGGCAGCGAAACATGGCCATTTAGAGTAGAAGACACTCGTAAGCTACTAGTATTTGACAACGGATGCCTCAGAAATATTGCTGGCGTCTGTTGGGATCACCGGGTAAGTAATACTGAGGTTAGACGCAAGGTATTAGGAAGTGATGGTAAATAAGTCGACGAGGTTGTGAATGTTCATCGACTGAGATGGTTGGGCCACGTGTTACGTATGCCTGAACACCGATTACCACGACGTGCAATGCTACCCGGTGTTCGGGATGGTTGGAAGAAAATTAGAGGCGGCCAAACCAAAACGTGGCATCAGTGCTTGAAGTCACTAACTTCTAGTCTGAGCCATGTTGGTAGATGCAGACTACTTGATTGGGGTCTGCGTGACTTTCGTAACCAATGGTTGGAGACTCTTGGTGACATGGCTCAGAATCGATCACAATGGCGTCGCTGTATATACTCCTTGTCTTCCCTTAAACTAAGAGATTAAAATCGCTTCATATCTTTCTTTCTACGAACTAATTCTTTCTTCCTGTATTATATCCTTATTGCAATCTTTCTTTTAGATATTACCGCCTCTGAATTAACTACTTTTTGAATCGGTGTCCATCTTGTTGTGTTAATGAGGTATGGCAACTTGGACCGATGCATATATGTGCCTGGTCCTACGTTTAGCTGACTGACTGACTTATTACTATCAGATTTGCACACTAAAATTGATGAGCATTTTTTTCCAGTCAATAACAATATTGCTTACGTTACAGACTGACTATTATTTGGAAAACCATAGAAAACCAAGCGGTATGACCTGATAGCTATTTCGTTCTACTATGGCTAGCAGTGAGATCCAATACACGCGTTTCATTCTGTCTGGGTCGTCAGCTGGATATATCTGCATTCCAGAGTTGATGTTCACTCTGGTACTCGAGCTTACTACCGTCTGCTTGGAGCACCATCGGGTCATCCATTTAGCTACTGAGTTAGGATAGCCGCTCATTTGTGCAATGGGCTGACGTTTAGTTCATAGAATACAAGTATACCCATGTGATGAGTTCTAAATAAAACGTAACGCACGTTCTGGATTCCACTGTTAACTACTATTCATTTTTGCTTATAATGCTTGTAGCTTAAGGTAATATTGGAGATGGTCATATACTACTAAGAGACTGATCAATTCAAATCCTATACATCAATGAGAAGACTAAAACATTAGACTCAAAGCCAGTACTTTCCTTATCAATATTCAATCCATTACCAATTAAGCTACTAAATTATTGAACAGAAATAAAGTTATCAGTAAGGGTTTGTAAACTCCTGTTGTTAATATGCAGTACTAGAACTGATCATCCTCTGTCACTATATGAACTTACTGTGGAGATTATCTTGTCAATATCGACTTGTTTGTGTTGTTTTTGTAGTTTGGTTGGCTTAATTCATAGAGTGTTACTAAATTTGATAACATTACTAACTTTATCAGCAATTTTCGTCTCAGATTAATCATATTTGGGCTAGAATTGAAAATCATGCATTGAAAGACAACTGTTTCGTACTAGTCTAAGATTTCTCAGGAGTGCATACTCACAACCCTAAACCCAGAGATGTAATCCCAGCCCAGCAGTTATCATGGCGAATGTACAACCGTTAGGATCATTGATTTTGGGGTCTATTGGTACATGTATCAAACACCAATCAATTTACAATTTGGCACTATTGTCCTCCAACAGCATTAGTCACATCTTCTGACTAGGACTCATCAAAAATTAAATCACTACTGAGCTTGTTATTAGTAGTTTGAACCAAACCATAGCAAATATTGAATACAAATGAAAGTGATCTCGACAAAACACTAATTCACTTATATTTTTATTGTTTTTGCAAATGTTTGTCTGTTCATCTAAGTAGATTTCATTTGCTGGGCTGTGATTAACCTTTATGTAGAATAATGTAAATGTTACGAATACGTTTAGGGTTTTTGTGAGGCTGAAATTTTCTCCATGGTGTTGTATTGACTGAATATGAGACCCAACTTGAAAATTGATCACCGACATATGTATTTTGGTAATAATTCTTATTTGCGAAACATTTCATAAGTGTTGAATTAAGTTAGAAATATTAGTATCTGACTTCTACTT